TTGGTTCCATTCAGCAGAGCACAGTGCCAATGTGGTGCTTTTCATTCTCAATGCCATATTTTTATTAGTGGATTCTACAGGAGTGGCTTTGCATGACTCACAGTTCAAAATAATCTTTACATGTCTCATACTGGGCATCGATACATCTCCTCTGCTTTAGCTGCTCTGCTTTTAAGGCAGCTTTCTTCTGACTGTCCACCACTCGTAAACAAAGCAGTGCATGAAATGACCATATGAGGATTTCTGCGCTTACTGACATTTTTCAGCGCCAAAAGGAGAAAAAGTGTGCTGATATAACTTGAAATTTTGGCAATTTTTTTGTAAGACGTCTCCACCCTTTTTATATACGCTATATGCATGTTAGAAAGTGAGGAAAAGATTGGTCTTCTTTAAGCCATTTTGCATCATCATGAGTCAGTTGACATGCATGCTCTGTACTGGCTTTAAGTTGAACAAATGGTCAGTGCTGTCAGTGATCCCGCTCTCAGTTGGCTCAGTGACCTCCATAATCGCTCCCGTGATTATTGACAAAGTAAACCACCCTCAGCCTGCGCTGGGCAGCCAACTCCATTAAACCCCAGCAAACATTTCTCTGCAGAAACTTTCACTTTGTGTGTGTTTGTAATCTCAGCGTCCTCATCCAGCAGGGGGCAGTCCACTCTCATACACTGACACGCACTGGGGGCATTTGGGTAGTTGAGAGTAACTGAAGACTAGAGTGCCCAATCCCTGATCCAGATGTCCGTAAATAACGCCGCGCTAATGACAGTAGCTGTCTGCGCCGGCGTCTGCTCATCACTGCTCGTGCTTTGCGAGTTTCCCCCATGCCGGCGTGCTCAGCTCATTTATTTTGGAGGGAAAATAGGCGCTGTGTGACAACAACAAAAAAAACATGCACACACTTCCCTAAACGGTTGTAATAATATTGAGGCAAGCCACGGCGGTTTGTGCTGCCTGGTGGTGGCGTGCTACTGAAGCTGCAGGGGACTGATGTTTCTCTGAAAATGTGCGCATGAGGGTGGGGAAAAAGAGGAAGTGAAGGCACAAGCATCTGCAGCCGATTCCTCTCCCCTCTTCCCATGCCCCCCCCCTTTTTTCTTCTTTTTTTTTAACCCACAGCCTCTTTTTTCCCCCCCTTTCTTTCTTCATGCTTGTACTCAGACAGCGGTTGATGACGCTGCAGTCGGGAGTAGGCCCTATCGCTCTCCTGCTCTTCCTCCCTCACTCACTTTCTCTCTCTCTCTCTCTCTGCAAATGAAGGCTGAGTGTATTTATAGTCCAGCGTGTCACCCGGCAGCCAGCAAACGGGGGATTACCTCGGCCACGATGAACTAGCAGAGCCTAATTCAGAAACGGCACTCGCTCGGTGACTCACAGCCACACAAGCTGGGCTTGCCACACTGGTAATACTAAGGTATTTTACTTTGTGTGTGTGTGTGCAGTTTGTGCACATTTTTACGAGGTATTTATGATATGTAAGAAAGTCTGAATCTGCAGTCACATGCTCATTCAGAACGTTTTTTCTTTTCCGTGCAAGTTGAGTGAGAAGTTCCCAAGAATGAGAGGGAATTTGCTTTCGGCTTGCAGCTGCTTCTACCTTAGATTTTTAGCAGGTAAAAGTGAGGAAAATGTGGATGTAGCTCATTCATTTGAAATCAAAGTTGCCTAACAACCGGCAGTTCAGGTGCATGGAAAGTGCGGCATTTAAAATTTAAGAAAGCATGCAAAGCCCCCCTTTATATGACTGTGAGTGGTGTGCATGTTATGCAAAGACGGTACTTTCTTTTTGTGTGCTTATTTCCATTGTACGTCATTCTTTACTTAAGACTTCAGAGCCCATAAAAGGATGTTTAGCTCCTTTCATTCCCTGCTTTGTTTCTGCAGTTCTAGTAATTGCAGGGCAGTTTAGGAGTGAACATGAACTCTTGCATTTTTGTGTATGGGGGGGACGGGGGAGGGGGACGGGGGGGAGAGAGAAGAAATCTGGTGTGTTTATTGTGTTGTCTTTTCCTTTGGCGAGCTGGGAGCTAGTTTGCATGATTTGGGGCCAGGGTGATAAGTCACACAGTAAGGAGCTTGACTTCACATTTTAAAGAACCGGTTTGAGGGCTGCAGCACTGCCGTGTTGGCCTGTTTGTGATGCTGGTGTTGCAGACATTTGCTTTTAGCTGCCACACTCAGGGAACAAACAAACTCGGTCCTAGTTTTACGTTAGAGGAAATACTGCCTATATCACCTTGTTATGCAATGAGGTAAAGTCGGATCACTCAAAGGTAAATGGGTAGTAGGCTGCACACCCTCGAGAGAGTTTAATTGCAAAGGGGCGTTTCCTTTTGATGACACAAAGCACTCCTCATAATAACACCAGCAGGTAATGCTGTAACATAACATAGTTTTAATAAAGTAAAGCAGTAAAGTGACCCCAAAGGCCTCAGGGCATTTTTGTGTACAGGTCGCATTCATTGCGTTTTTTGTTGGTTTTTTTTTTGTTTTCCTTTTACTTGTATTGCTTTGAGTTTAATTTGAGCACATTATTTATATAAATTTTTGCTGTTTCCAGTGAAAGCAGGTGTTGATCTTACTTCCATCATCTCATTCTTCAACTCTGCTTGTAATTTGAAGTGTGTTACGTTAATTGACATATTTCCCTTATGGCCCAGTATTCATGTAGTTACTTCACTCTAGTATCTCCCAAATAGTTTATTGTAACACATTTCCCACAGAGACGTCCAGAGTCGATCACATCAGCGTTTTCTCATCCTAGTAGGAGACGCAGTGACACTCAGCACATGCATTTTTAGTTCTTCAGCTGGACCAGCTGTGAATCGTCTGTTTGCAACATGCATAACAGCAGCAAGGAGAGTCTGCAGAAACGATGTGGGCATTCCTCAAAGAGACTCTGCTTTAGCTCTAGATTAACTGAATCTGACACACTGCCCTAAATCCCCTCCACCTGCTAGACTTATTAGCCTAAATAAATCACAAAAATGGACATAAAAGCATTCATCTGTAAATTAAAGTAACAGGAAATGTTAAGAATATGTTAAGCTGACAGGACACAGACTGAAATGCTAGGATGTTGCTGAGTAGCTTACTGATGTGACTACAAGGTGTAATGTTAGTTACAGTACATTAGCTTTAAGCATTTATCTTACGTTAGCCATTGTAAACACAGGGGGTCACGGCTGACTTCACAGCAGGAATGTCAACAAAATGCTAAAGTGTGTTTAAGGATGACATGAAAATAATGTTAATACAAACTGAAACGCATTCACCTTGAGTTCTGTGAGATCTTTTAGGTGCTTTACTAAATTTGAAGCATTTTCTCATGTGGTCTGAAAAGGATGATTGCATCATTTGCATGTTATCATTTGAGAATCAGTTATCAGCCAGTGGTTATCCGCTTCAAACGCAAAGTGCTTCCGTACCCGACTCTCTTCTTATCAGCCTGTCTGTTCAGATCCGTGTTGGCAGCCACACTAGTTGCTGTCTTCCACGTGTAGTTTCTCATATGCTTGTGGGTTCTTCTTCTTCCAATCAGTGGCATTTTGCTCAGTGAGAGATTACTGTGGATGCGGTCGGCTGTATCGTCTAGTAGCTGTGTCTTTAAGGATGGTAGTACTTCAGTGTTGGCACTTTACAATATAAACCTACTCCAACGCAACTATGAGAAGTAACTACAAACAGTGTTATTTTCTTTCATTGCTTTTAGTTTTACTGTTTGTTTGTTCGTTTTTTTTATCGGGCATAGTTGCACATGTTTAACACTATCTGAAAATTCAAGAGTGGACTTTTCACCATGCAAGAGTGTGTGATTATCACAGGGCATTGTTTGTGTTGGGGTTTTTCTTTTCTTCTTTTTTTATTATATAAACAAATCATTGCCAGTTGTGCTCTTTTTTATCTTTGCCATCACGGCTACTCTTTTGTTTTGTGGCTTCTTCTCGCCGAGCTATTTAAAGCCGTATCACTGAAGGAAATGTGTGTATGAAGAAAAGTTATTTGTTGTTTTTGTTCTCCGACTCAGAGATCTGGATTTAGAAAAAGCTGAAATTGAAAACGGTCTTTGCGTTGCCTCTATTTCCTAAAGATTTAGAGCTGGGATGTCAGACTGATTTTACACTGTGGCACACATCGGACCCTCTTTGATCTTATGCGGGCCGGACCAGCGTAAACTCTCCTTTCTGTCAGTGTAAAGAAGTTTAGCGACACATTTAATCCCTCAGGTACTTTTAAAAAACAGAAAAAGAAGTAGAAAATGATATCTCTGCTTTTCGACATGATAAAGAAATTATGCTTTGGGCTTAAAGTGTAAGAAATAAATGTGTAACATTATTGAAAAAGTTCTGTTAGCTCATTGCACAGACTGTCCTGTAATAAAAAAATAGCAAGATTACTACTACTGTACTAGTAGTAATCTTTTACTACTGTGAACGTCATACATTTCTATAGTGGATACTGAAAAAACAGAAACGTTCTGTCATTTAATTGTTGCATTACGCATTCACTTTGTAGCATGAATGGGTGGAGGCCTTTGTCAGCAGGAAAAGAAGTATAACTTATGAAAATGCAGTTAAGAGTAATAAAGTTCTCCTTCACATTTTCTAAAGCAGTCCAGTCGGCCAGATTGGAGTCTTTAGCGGACTGCCTTATGTCTGACACCTTTGCTTTATAGCATACTTTAACTCATTTAGCTGTTAGTGGCATTTTGAGTGTGTTTGTAGCTTCTTCAGTATGACCAGGAGCTGCTGAAGGAAACAGAGAAAATCGCAGACTAATGCGTTTTCCAGCTAATCTGGAATTTTGTTTGCCCTCTTTCTTAGAACAGCTTCAGCCAACAACTAATTTAAAACTCTAAAACATCGACTTCAGCCCTTCTGTGCTCTCAAAAATCTGCCCGTGTGCATTTACAAAAAAACATACCTTGCACCTTGAAAAGGAAGTAGCTCAGATGTTTGCTTATCCTGTTTTCCCTCTCTCTGTCTCTTCCCACCGCACAGATACTTGGAGAAGTATGAGAAAGTCCACCACTTCGGAGAGGATGACGAGGAAGCGCAGCCAGGGAATCCCAAAGCCTCTCTTCCAATCGGTGCAATTCCCAACTCTTATAACTACCAGCAACACATTGTATCAGGTAAAGTCCTGTCTGTGATCACTGTGTTTCTCTGTCACGTCTGTGTCACGTACGGGTGTCCAGTTTCTGCTTGCATATGTTTTCTTTCTCACTTGTTATTTTCTCTGAAGTTCATCCCGTCTGTGTCTCGGTCTGTCTCTGCCCTTTGGCTAACTCAAGCACTCAGTCCTCACACAGGCATGATTGCAGCAGCGCATCATTTCATCAGCGCTGGGTGTGTGCAACAAATGCAGAGCTGATCAGCCCTCAGGTTAAGCATATGCACAGAAATACGACGCTGCCATTTGTTTCTAGGATTTTTGTTTTCATCAGTTGAATTTATTGTGACGAATCGGAGAGCTTTGTCTCCGATAGTGTTAGATAACACACTGTGGTGCGTTACAAATTCATGTGAGCTTTTCATGTTCTGGCATCAAGCAGGCTTCATTTCCTCGTTCTGCTGTGGAGGTTAGAAACACTAATGAGCTCATGTGATACAGCCTTTTGTAAAACGTCTAATTGTAATTTTCTAGTTTTAAACGTCTGAGCCTTTAAGCATGCGTAGGGCATCCTTATGTGTGTTTCTCGGCAGTCAGCTCTCCCTTCATCCACAGCCTTTGTGCTTTATGCAGACGCCAGATCCGCCTGCTAAGATGCAGGGTTTTTGTTTAGACTGGGTCTGTTATGGCTCAACTATACCTCAAGTCCACCAGGATCCACTTGGGTCCGTCTGATGTAGAGTGTACAGTGATCGGCAGACTTAACGCAGATGACCTCGTGCCTGGTTGTTTTCCTGACTGTGGATAATTTACATTATAGTTCAACTACCCATGGCAGCAGACTTGTCGACGACTGCATATAATCAAGACTTTATACTCTCTGCAGTCCAAACACTACACAGGAAACCCCCTCAGTCCTGATTCTCCTGGCAGGGTTGGCTGTAGTATATTACAGGATTGCAAACGCCCTGTGTTGTCTCTTTACTGCTACGTGTAGTTACTCAGTGAAGGTCTATTCTTTGCCAGGAAAAGCCAGACATTGGTGTCAGCCCAGTTTACTCCACACGTAGACTTTGCTTGGCTTGGCTGCACAGGTGCGTGAACTGTTCTTAACGAGTGTATTTGGTCCAATTGAGAGAACGGACCGGCTCGCCTGCCAGGTTGCTCTTGAGGCGTAGCTCAGTCTCAGTCTTTCAGTTACTTCTTCAGACAGTCGGCGTCTGCCTTGTTAACCTCTATCTGCAAACCTAATGACATCTACCAGCCAGTCACTGTTGATCGGTGATGGCTAATCAATTTGTTGCTGAGAAAGATGGCATGATGAAAGGCTCAAAGACTCTAAAATATGAGTGTTTTTTTCCTTTAGAGGTTGACTAGCAATCTAAACATGATTGGTCTGTGTACGAGTAAAACCAAAGAGACCAATGTGCGTTATTTTAGCAGAAGTCTGCATTTTGGTCTTGTGTCGGGATAACTAAAGTAAACGACCCGTGGGATAGTCGAGCCTCTCTGCTGTTGGTCCAATTCACGACTCTGCTTTATTGTACTTTTCATTTAATCCCTTTTGTTACACAGTGACTCATTTAATTCAGTTTTCACCTTGCTAAGTGCTGCTGTGTTTGAGCTGAGCCTGTGAAGCGTGCAGTGATTTGTCTGTGCCTTTTTCATTTTCTTAGAAGTTGCTTACACACACCTAAGCGTTGACTAATTATTTTTCAAAGCCAGGCATGCAGCCACTTTCTTTACAAAAAGCAGCCCCTGAAGAGTCACATTATATTTCACACAAAATGTTTCTGCGTATGCATCCAAGGCCGGCCTCTTGTCTGTTTTGTCAGGCGGCGCTCACACACACAGTGTGAGATATCCATTAGCCTCACGACGTTGTAGAGCTGACCGCTGGGCTGCTCTCAGAGGTAATTGACTGTCCTGACAACAGTTATTGATGAAGGGAAGAGGGAAGCACTTGTTGGTTTTCCCTTTGCCTCACTTTAGATTAGAGTCTCCAGCCTTTCAGTCGCAGGCTCTTTCCTTGCTGCCCACTGAGCTAATTGACTCCAAAACACGACCATGGAGGGGCAGAAAACACGACAAATGGTGGTGAACTTAACTGTGGCTTGTAAGGTTTTTTTTTTTTTTTTTAACCCCCTTCCACCTTCATTCACCAGCCCAAGAACAGTTACTCCCCCATAATACTTGTTGCACAACACTTTTATTCCTGCTTTTTTTTCCTAAAGCTTGTGATTGTAAGTATTATGTCGTATTGAGCGGTGATGATTCACTAATTCTGTGCTTGTAATACTCAAACGCTCTTGCCTGCCCTTGGCTCAAACCATTCATTTTAAATCAGTTGTAATCTGTATGATGGAAGGAGAGCTCATGATGACAAAGTGTAACAGTTCTGCGTAGCTTTACGGCGACTTTTATTTTCGACGCCCACACTTTTTATGCTTGTGGTTCTCTCAGCGTGTTGTTTTCACCATTAAAGGTCGAAACAGCAGCTGTACATTCACCTAACTTCAAGCAGCACACAAAGGTGGTAATAACCTGACCACCACAGAGTTAGAGCTGCAACCACCAATTTCATCATGGCTTCATTGTTGGCTTAATTTCTCAGGTTTTGCCTGTAAATATATTAGCACTTAACTTACAAATGAATTGGAAAATATTTTCATCAACACATTTGACAAGTTGTATATTTAAGAAGAAAATAGATTACAGAAGATTAATGAGTTCATCAGTTTGTTGCTCTGCTAATTGCAGCATTAAACAGCCCATGCGGTGATTTCCATGTCAGAGTCACGTCTGTTTGAGGGACTAAAGATGACAGGCATCCGGTATTCATTTGCTCGGTGCGCACAGAGATTTCTCCATATTCTCTTAAATCTTTTGATGGTATTTGCTGCAGATGATGATATGATCAAAGGCTTTGCAATTTTATGTTAAGGAACACAAGTGTTCTACAATTTATAGACAGTTTTTTGCAGATCAGTGGAACTCTGGGTCTCTAAGATTCTCTTTTTTATACCCAGGCATGTTACTGTCTTGCTGCCAGTTGATCTAAATAGTTGCAAAATCTGTCTTTTTTGGATATCTTAGTTTTCTAGCCTTAGAATTCATTTTTTTCCCATTAAATGGTAAAACATCTGTTTAAACATGTTTTCTTTGTTCTATTGTGAAAACATTTATGGGTTTATGAGCTTTTTAAATCATTTAATTGGTTTTATTTAAATTTTTTACATCGTTCCAACATTTTCAGAATTGGGTTTACAGAAGCTCTATGAAAATAAAGTTTTGAGCCTAAAAAGAAAAGTAGAAAACGTAGAGCCTGTAAAAGTACCGTCTGTTGCCCAAATGCAAACTATGAGCTGTTTCCACAGACTAGGGGGCTCATGATTAAAGGGCTCTGCTTTTAGAAACTTTAGGAATCACAAGTAAGTTTTAAGTGTGAGAACTATGTGCTCTATTAGGATAATATGGAACTATGAGGCCTTTTTAAGGTGGCATGAATGTTTGCTGCCATGCACCAAACTCTTTGGTTTGACGTCTGGCCCTCAATGTTTTGGGAATCATCTTTGCAAAACTTGAAGTTGAGACTTTTGACAGGTTGCTAGCATGCTTGTAGGCTTGGCACATGGTTATCTTGGCTATATTATTTAAGAGTCAAAGCGATAAATGGTAAATGTGCATTTCTTTACCTTCTGTTATGAGCTGATTTAGATTTTTTGACGCTGGTTGTAAACTCCAACATTTGAAATCACGCCATCTTTGAACATTTAACTGCTGTAAAACTGATTTGACACAACAGATTCCGATTAGACGCTGCCTTCTGATTCGCTGCTAGGCCAGTAACAATTAACAAGGCTGCTATTGGCTGGTGTTTGCAATGTGAGGCTGATTTATCAGCTGCCAGTTTCCATCATGACAGCAAAGCTTCGGCGCAAGTGGGATGGCCCTCGTGTTATCATTGCAACACTTACTGAAGCTGGAGCTACCATAAAATTGTTTATGAAGACCGATATTAGCGTCCCGTTGGTGTGATCATGAAGATCCCTTACATACATACTTGATGGCAAAAAGGTATCTTTTATTCACAGTGACACTGATGTGTCTGCAGTGAGCGGATACTGGCTGATTTTTGTGCACTGCCTCTGGTAGATCTTTGAGAAATGAAGCCCATTTGTACCACAGGCCCTGAATTTAAATATAACTATACCGCATAGTGAGCGGTAATTATTTGACAGCTTTTCTGGAAACCTCTCACCGAGCCTCTCTGTACGCTGTTGTCTCCGAGGCCCGCGACAACTGTTAATTCATTCCTGCTCATAAAGCCTGCACCCGTCAGACGAGCCGATGTCTATCAGTCCTCTGCGCCTCTGTTCGGCGGCCGGCTCGCTGCAGGTGCTGGAGGACAAGCTCAGGCAGGCAGCTTCTGAATAGAGCTGTAGCTGCTATAATGGCAGCTCAGCTGAATTACATTTGGCTTCACAAACCTTTTCAGCATGGAAATCAGATTCACTCAGCAGGACTCCCCCCCTCTCTCTCTCTGTTATGATTGGTTTCCAGAGGCAGCAGTCTACAAAGACCCTGCACCACAGTGAAATAGCCACTGTTTGGGGGAGGGAAATGACACCTATGCACACAAAATGATGGATGGCAGAAAATCCGGCAGTAACACAGGGAGGAATCTCAGGTCTTTGCTTACAAAATGATTGCACCTCCACACCGGAGAGCTTCTCAGTAGTAATAGTGAAATCGGGCCTTGTTTTCCCCACACAGCTAGCAGTTGGGATTACAAGTCTTTTGATTATAAAACCTTCATCATGTAGGCTAACTGATTCACATTCAGATGCAATTAAAAGTTAAAGGGTGTTCACAAGTCGAGACTAGACACATCAGACTGATCTGAGCTAAAAACATCTTCGTGCCCATTTTGTTTGCTGAAACTTCAGTTAAAGGAAATGGAAACAGGGGCTGAACTTGCTGAAAGTGTGCAGGCAAATGTAGTCCTCTGAGGGACCGGCTGAAGGCCGCCGCCTTCTCACTGCTCAGATTTACATGATGTTGTCATTACTTTGAAAACACTCATACAATGTGCTGTCCTGCTTCATTGTTGATCATTTAAATTCAAAGAAAACTCCAAACCCACTGCAGAGTCACTGATGGCTGTTGACAGGAGGCCCATGATGAACCTTACCTGACTTTAAGCCTCCTAATTAAAACTTTGGCTTCTTTCACACTTGTCACCCGCTCGTGTCGTGACTATCACCGCGTCTTATTTTATGTCACAAGTGACATTACTTCACAGCGTCGCAGCTAAATCAGAAGTTGATCTCATACTCTGAAAGATGTCACGACACAGTCTGAACTTACCCTTTTGTAAAAATGTAGCACACGGCATTAGTTTTTGTCAGCCATGTTCTCCATCCGTCATCTTAACTGCTTGTCAAAGTCGGGGTCGTGAGCTAGACAGATTGCCAGTCACTATTTATCTTAACATGGCTGTCTTTGGACTGCAGGGGGAGGGTGTCATACAGGCTCCACACTGTGAGGCCACAGTGCTCACCGCTTCACTGCTGTGTGACCTGCACTGCTCTCACATCAGCACACAGACTTTGTACCACAAAGCTAGCGAGTTAAAGACGCTTCAGTGTAGGTGTTGAGCGCTTGTTCCCACTCTCTCCTGGAAAGGTTCAGGGCTACAGAGCACGTGTAAAAATGACTACAGCGAATAAGGCAGCTAAAGCTCCTCAGTGAGGTGAAGGCCTAGCTCCTGCCATAAGACTTTGACAGAGTAATTCATGCTTTTATTACCTCTTGGCATTCTTCATATGTTGGCTCTAATTGCTCGTTATTTTGTCGCCTGGCTGCACTAAATTGCAGCAGCTCGTGTTTTGACGGGGAGAAACAGCCGGGTCACATCACACCTACGCTGGCCTCCTCACTCAGACTTCCAATCAGTTTCAGGATCCAGGATCTGTTAAGTAAGGTGGTGACACCTTACTTAACAAAGAGCAAACAGCCTTATTTACTTTAGATGATTTATAGTGTGTTTATTGTGTCTGTTATGTATAAAATATGTTTTGTATAACCTGTACAGCACTTGTATAACCTCAACTGAGTTTGTTTGCTTGAGGTTGCTATAGAAGCAGGTATGTGACATTTCTCCCACCTCACTGATATTTAATTCTCGTTTTGTGTTTTTTTTCCTTTCAGACTATCTCCGCCAAAGCTATGGACTGTCTACGGACTTCGTTCCACCATGTGACTACAACAAACTGGTGCTGTCTCTCCTTTCGGGCCTACCCAATGAAGTGGACTTTGCCGTTAACGTTTGCACGCTGCTTTCCAACGAGAGCAAGCACGCCATGCAGCTGGACAAGGACCCCAAACTGGTCACGTTGCTTCTGGCACACGCCGGCGTCTTTGATGACTGTACGTTCCTCAGCTCTTCACATACTGAACAGTAGCATTATAACATTTAGATAAAAAGACTGAGGTTGTTTACCTTGGTTTAGTAAAAAAGCATTTTCATTTTAATTGTGCTTCCCTAAAGAGGAGCAATTATTCTGTGGGCATGAATCTCCAAATATTTTCCCAGTTTGCCGCCTCCCCTCTCTCACCTCTTTGTTCTAGGATCAAAGGTTCTGTCTTCTTAGCACCCCCTAAATATAATTTGTCAAAGGGGAATTGAAGAAGAAGGGAAAAGAGAGGGATAATACCATGCTAAGCCCAGGCGCTCCCTCTAACATCCCTCTGTGTCTTTGCAGCGCTAGGCAGCTTCTCCGGGGTGTTTGGGACGGACTGGAAGGAGAAAACCTCCCGAGACTTCGTCAGGGTAAGTTCTACAATTTTAATTTATTTTTTTACAAAAAGTCTAATGTTCTCCGACCTTTTTCTGCTAAATGTGCGCTGCTTACACTGAGAAGCCACAGAGCACGTGCGACTCTGTACAGTGTGAAGATTGGCAGGAATCCAGCAGTTAATCCTGACAAAGGGATTTCTCTGAGGCATCTTTAAGACAGAATGGAGGTCAAATGACTTTGATCTCAGTCGATTTAAGAGGCATGCATAAAAGTCGAGTCAGGACTGACAAATAATGCACTGTAGGATTTAATTTCACCTCAGTCATTCAGGCTTTACTTTGGCTCCAAGTCAGGAGGTCACAGTGAGGTCAAAGATACTTTGTATCCAGTTGGAAGGCTGACCTCAAATCAACAATACATCTACAGGTTGTTCTGAATTTACTGAAGACTTGTTTTTATTTATTTTGAAACTGTACAGTCTTGTGCAAAAGTCTGTTTTTGTAATATTTCAATCATGCCACAAGACTGGCAGCAGGTCTTGTGTCAGATTACAGCTTCACGGTGAGCTGATCTGATCTATGCCACTGACAGTGTTTACTAGCATAAATCATGAGAGCAGTATGGTCATTTTTCTTTCTTGCACTTTTATAAAGTTCAAGTTTGTTTTGCAACCACAGAGGTCACCCTCTCCTTAAGTAAGTCTAACTGACTTACTCATACCAGGGCTCTAGACTAACTTTTTGCCATGGGCGTACCGGCACAAAAGTTAGGCGCACACAAATTTTATAATAATTTATATAATATAATGTGTTTTTCTGGATACACTGTGCTTTTTCAGCATTCAAAGATTGATGACACCGTGTCAGAGCACTGGGTATGAATTTCAGAAGGATCAGGCCTTAACTTAACAGAAAAGTTAGCAATAGTTCTTTTCCTATTACAGCTACATCCACTTCTGCCTAGACTGCTCACTAGGGCTGGGTATCATCACTGATTTCTATAATCCATTCGATTCCGGTTTTCAAAGTCCCGATTCGATTCAACTTAGCCTCAGACAGTCAGAAATATTATAATTCTGATCATTTATCAGTACTGACTTCATCAGAATTGTGAACATCACAGCAGATGCCTTTGTGTGAAAGTAACTGAGAATAAAACACAGAAAAACATGAAGGAGATTTTCCTGGTCTGGCTTTTTATAGCAGATAACCTTAAAAATATTCTGCAATGTTCTGCATATAATGTTTAAATTTCTTCAGTATTGAACAACAGAAAAAATAGGCTTTCTTGTTCGACGTCATTTAAGTGAAAAAAAGAAAAAGAAAAGAAAAAGACAGCGCTGTAAACAACGGTAGACTGGTGGGTAACAAGCGAATGAATAATACAGAAAACAGAGATTGGAGACGGAAACTGTTCTTGAAGTACAGAGAGAGATGGAGAGAGAGCTAGCTGTGCATGAAGTGTGATTTTAATAGTCGTGGAAGCAAAACGGCAAAATTCATGACGACATTGATCAAATGTGAAGCGCAGTTTGCTGCTTCTTTTGCTGCTGGCTCTGCGAATTTTGGTTGGAGAGAGACAAAACCTGCAGCTCAGAATCAGCGCAAAAAAGACGTAAACACAGAGCAGACCCGACGCATCAGAATCGCTAAGCTCCGACAGCGTGTTCGTGTTCGTGCCGCATTTGCGACCAAATTGGTTGCACTCTAGAGCCCTGCATACCCCAGCTTAGTTTATTTTTATGCTCACGCTGTGGTAGCTGCAGATTTATTAGGGCTGTTCGAGGCAGTCCTCCCAAAAACTCACTGCTGCTGAATTTGGATCCAGCTGAATTATTAGCCGAATTTGGAGCGCACAGCTAAGAGCTTCTATTTGTTCACAGTTCTGGAAAGAGGTGGTGGAGGACGCTGAAGTCAGGGAGCTGATCTGGGACAAGAACAACCCAGCACAAGGTAAATGCACACTTATACAGTACACGTGTCCCTCCTTTGAGCACCCCTCCCATTCATACACTATGTGCTTATACCCTCACCCGCTGCAAGTTGTTCCTCTTCTCTCTGCAGATGGTACGTCGTGCGCGGAGCGCTGGCAGAGCCTGTTCCACCCTCCGCGGATCGCGGGCATCAGCGACATGGAGGCCCAGCGGGTGCTGCAGATTGCCGTCATCCTGCGTAACCTCTCCTTCGAGGAGGCCAACGTCAAGCTGCTGGCGGCCAACCGAACGTGCCTGCGCTTCCTTTTGCTCTGCGCCCACTGTAACCTCATCTCACTCCGACAGCTCGGACTGGACACTTTGGGCAACGTGGCTGCTGAGGTAGGTGTGGGTTTGTGATGGTACAATGTGCTAAAAATAGCTTCACAGGGAGGTACCCTTTCCCGTGTTAGGGATATGTGTCAGATCAGTGAAGTAGTTAAGCTGAACACTAAATGAAGGAAATTTGCTTTCAAATGTGGGTCACTGTGACACACCGAGTTGTCATTTCTTACCCAAAATACTTCAGTGGAGCTTGAGAACAGCAAGTTGAGTTGATGTTAGTGTGATGGCGTCCTTCAGTGCAGTTCATGTGTTAGCTAAACCCCTCCCCTCTGCAGCGATTTTCCAGTCATAACAGCAGCATCTGTGGCCAGCAGATCTGTGGAGCTGTGGGTTTCGCCTCATTGAAGTGGCACATGTTAGGCTGTAGTAAAAGCAGTGCTCTATATTTGATTTGTGTAGGTGTTGTTTTTTTTTTTTGTTTTTTTTTCTTTTTTTTTGTAGCCTTACCAAAACACAGCAGCAAAAATATATAGACTCTAGTTCAATCTGCAATTTCTCTCTTTTAAACTGCCAGTGTGGCATGCAAGAAATGACAGCGTGACGGGTGTATCCGACATTAGTTAGCCACATATTTAAAGTCTGGGATCATTTCAAGCTAAGTGATTTCATGTTTTGACCTTACTAGAGGCAAGGATTACTTCCATGCATGCTGGCCTTATTATCTGAAACTTTGCCCGTGGTTAATGAGTGTCCACTGCTGTAGCAGTACCGTATTTCCCGGACTACAAAGCGCACCTGAATATTAGCCGCACAAGCTAAAATCAGGGGAAAATCCTGTTTTGTACAT